TAAAAGCAGCCGCATCCCCATGGGGGCTTCTGCCAGCGCCCTGGAGACTCAGATGCACACCCGGGTCCTGTCCTTTCCCAGGAGAAGTTTCTCTCCAGAGGTAGGTAACAGCTAGAAATATTAAAGGATCAGCCTTTTGTGTATTCACCATCCTGAACCAGCCTCCACCCAGCCAGGCGGGGTGAGAGAAAGAGGGAGAATCGGGCAGAGAGCAAGGGCGGTAGTGACCTTTTGTATTTGCCCTGCTTTCTCTCCCACACCCCCTGTCCTCCTGCAACTAGATTTCAGAGCCTTCCCCTGGAGATCTCGTCATCTCCTTCCAGTGGGTGCTGTGGCCTCCAGAATTTAGAAAACAGGCGTGTTCCCACTCCATCCAGGTGTATTGGGCACACCTGCCCCCACCTGCTATCAGCAAGACGGAAAAAGGCCCCAGCATGTCTGTGCCTGATAGTAAACGCCGTAGCTCAGCTCAGGGAGACCTCCCTGGGGCAGGGGGTTTCGAGGTCAGAGGCACCTAGTGCTTTCCAGGGGCTCTGCACAGCCCGTGTTAGATGGAAGCTGCATCATCTTCCCTACACAATTTTTGTTTTTCCAATATCACCTGCAAGACCAAGGACACCCCAGAAACAACAGAGGTGAACGAACTTCTCGGAATCTTCACTTGGCCCAGGCATGAGCTAAGTACATCACCTGCACTACCTCCTTCAAACCTTATAATTATGTTATAAGATTGGTGCTATTCATATTCCATCTAATCTTAAAAATCACGATTTTACAGGATCAGAAACATATTTAGAAAATTGCCTGAGATCACAGAATGTTTTAGACTCAGGTCATCTGACTCCAGGGTTTCTACTTGCCCGGATTTTATCCATGGTCAAAGAACGGGTCTAGATCCTTCTGGTGGCAATTCCACCAGTTGAGTTTGGATCCAGAATGGCTTTGTCAACACGAGGTGACGTGGGTAATGTTGTGTCATGGGGAGTCTTACCCAGATACTGTAAAACGGTCCCAGAAACCCTTGTGAATGGAAAATATTAACTGCCCGTGCTTTCTCCGGGCACCTCATGGAAACCAAGACTTGAGCTGACTCATTCACACTGCAGACACCTAATGGTGGCAGCAGGTTCCTTTTTTGATGTGGCTGCCCTTTAGAGCTTATCTTGTCAAACTGCTGGAGAGAAACAGAGTTCCTTCCATTTGGCTAAATTCCCACTCATCTTGGCTACAGTGACATGGAAGGGAGAGAGAGCACGGAGGACAGCAGGGCGGGCGAGGTGGCTCACCGAGGCCAGCAGGCAAGGCGGGCTTCACCAGCCCAAGCGACCTGTGGATCTGCCACCTGCGTCAGCAGAGGGGAAAGGCGTGAGGCCTTGGATGGCCCCCTTCCAGCTGTGCTCACGGCCCACCAGGCACAGGGTGCTCCCAGGAAAACATAAACCCTGGGGCCCTAGGGAAGAAGAGCCTCCTTAGAGGAGATGAGAGGGCCGTCCACTGAGTGTTCTTTCCTGGCCTCTCCTCTAAACCCAGGCCCTGGTCCTCCTCGCAGCAGGCACACAGTTCCTTCCCTCTCCTGGCATCACGTTCCCTTGGGAGCTGGCAGCATCCTGAGCGCAGTGTGGCTCCTCCTGGCACCTCCTCCGGGCACCCCGTACTGTGCTCACCCCATCCTGCGCACTCAGAACCCTTTTGGTGGGTGAGACCCAGAAGGCCTTTGAAATCAAACCCATTTTCTCCTGGGAAACACAAGCTCACAGCTTAAGAGAGTCAAGGCCACCTGGGGGCAGAAGGTGGAGCGGACCCCAAGGAGGCCATGTCTAGAGAGACTCGGAAGAGGCAAAGTAGATGTCGAAATGCAAAGGGTGGTTCTGTGACGTGACAGAAGGCACTACTCCACATCCTCAGTGCCAGATTTTATTTGAGTTAAGAACATTTGTGTTTCATTTGATTGAGCAAACGATACATCCCCACTGGGCTACGCTAAAACTCGAGGAGAATTCTGGGAGACAGGCTCTGAAGGGTGAGCAACCAGATTCTTGTTGTGTCACAGATAAGAGAGAGAGAAAGAGAGAGAGAGAGTATGTGTGTGTAAACCCTACTCCTGGCACCACCGAAGCCCTGGTGCAATGTCCCAATAAGTCTTCTCAACAAATTAAGGCACAGAAGACAAAATCAGATTCCAAGATGTCACCTCTATTACTGATAAAGCCAGGTGAGGGCTAAATAAGGCTGTTCCCTGAACCCCAGAATCAGGTGGATTTCTAAAAGCTCAACAGGGGGTGGGCAAGAGGCCAATACCCAGATGCTCCCAGAAGGCTCCCAACATCCAAGAGGGAGGAAGAACATGCTGGCTTTGGCCAGAGAATAAAGAGAAGAGCAGGGCTCAAATAAATAAATAAATAACATGGTTGCTCTCTACCTCCATCAGGTGGGTAAGTCACTCGACCTCCAGGCGTGGAATGAGGTAAGGCAGAGAGACTCCCAGAATGACATTAATCAAGCTCTCATCACAAGAAGGAAGTGTCAAGCATGGGAAGAAGTGTCCTCTGCCATACCATGTGTGACTCTGAATCCCATCATGCAAAGTGAAATATGCAAATCCCAAAAAAAACCAAAGGCTAAATGTTCTCTCTGATATGTGGGTGCTAATACACAATCAGGTGGGTGGAGAGAATAGAAGTCCATTGGATTAGACAGAGGGGAATGAAGGGAAGGGAGGGTGGGTGGAAATAGGAAAGACAGTAGAATGAATCGGCCATAACTTTGCCATATTCATATATGAGTACATGACCAGAGTAAACTCCACATCATGTACAACCACAGGAACGGGAAGTTATACTGCATGTATATATAATATGTCAAAACACATTCAACTGTCATGTATAACTAACAAGAACAAGTACAAAATTTAAAAAAAAAAAAAGATCTATGTTTCTGTTTTCTGAAAACTTGATGTGGTAGATTGAAGCAAGAGTGGCTTCAATTCCTCACCCCCTCCCTTTGCCCACACACTCTGCAATGACTCCACACTTCCTCCCACAAAGGGTCGGATACTGTGTCTCCACTCTGTCTAGACTGGCCTTATGACTTTCCTTGGCCAATAGAATGTGACAGAAAGGACGGTTTAACAATTCTGGGGTTGGGCCTAAGACAGCTAATACACTTTCTCTCTCTTTCTTGGAAACCTGTGATGTAGCCATGTGAACAAGCTGAGGCTAACCTGCTGGACTTGAGAGATCATATCAAAGACAAGTAGTTTCAGCTAGCCCAGCCCAGGCCCAAGACATGCGAAAGAACCCATCTAACTTCAGCAAAACCAACCTACAGCTAACCTGATCACACATGCAGCCAAGACTGGAAGAACTATTCATAGGTTGTGAACAATAATAAATACTTATTGTTTTCAACTACAGTTTCAGAGTCATTTGTTACACAGCAACAGCTAACTGATACACATGGCCATGTTGGGCAACCCTTAGCTGGGGCTGGGCAGTCTCTTGAGCCAAGACATTCTTCCTACCACTGTCTATTGTTTCTCTGTCACAGCAACTGAATAACAGTTTCCATTAATTGTCATTCTTGGGTTTTGTTTTTCTCATCATTGGGTTAACAATAACCTTAAATGGTTCTACGAGCCGAGCCGTGACTGTCAAGACGTACATGTCAAAAGAGATTGGGAGAGCTATGTGATCTAAGAAAAATGGGAAAGAGGAAGGGTTGGAAAAGTCTTCTAAAAGTAATCTCCTGTAACAACTTGAGCTCCATTCGCACTTCAGTTTAAGCATTTGTTTTAATCCCTGTTGGTCTTGTTTGTTTGTTTTTTGTTGTTGTTGTTTGTTTGTTTGTTTTTTAATCCTATAAAGTGGAGTTAAATTTGCGTGCCTCAGAGAATTTTTTAAGAATTAAAGCTGGGTACCATGGCATATACCTGTAATCCCTTGGGAGCCTGAGGCAGGATTGCAAATTCAAAGCCAGGCTCAGCAACTTAGCAAGGTACTTAACAACTCAGCAAGACCCTGTCTCTAAATAAAATACAGAAAGGGGCTGGAGATGTGGCTCAGTGGGTAAGCACTCCTGGGTTCAATCCCTGGTCCAAAAAAAAAAGAATTGGGTTAAGTTTAGCAGGACAGCATAGTGGTTTAGTGCATAAACTCTGACACAAGATTGCCTGGATTTAAATCCCAGATTTGTCACTTACTAATTAATTCTATATGTCATGCAAACCACAGCCCCTGCTAGATGTCCAGTACAGCCACTTTAGTCTTTTTTGGTCTTAAGATTTCTTCCTGATCCTTACATTGTTCCAGGCAGTTATTATCAAAGTTAAGTTTAAAGGAGATTATTATTTTACAAATGTTCTAAGAACTCATAGGAACAGAACAATCCTTTCTGGTCAAAGTACAAACACTCTCTAAAGGGACCTCTTTGAACTACAGGACAAAACCCAGAGCATATTTACAGCATTCATTCACCCCATGAAATATTTAACCACAAAATAAGTATCACATGGGAAAACATGGAAATTTGTTCAAAAAATAGTGCTAAGTAAAAAGAATATGTATACAAAATAGTACTTGAACATTAATTTGCAATGCTACCAAAATATGACCACACATTAAAAATGATTGGAAGAGAATATGGCATAAATAGCTGCCATCTCAAGTTCATAAAATTTTAACAAGAATACCATAATTTTAAAATTTGGAAAACACAGATCATATTATACTATCGTAAAAAGTATAAGCATTTGGGCTGGGGTGGTGGCTCGGTGGCAGAGCGCTTGCCTCTCACATGTGAGGCACTGGGTTCCAATCTCAACACCACATAAAAATAAACAAAATAAAGACATATTTTTTAAAAAGTATAAGCATTTGCAGGAGATTGCTTAAAGTGTCTCACAATATATTATTTTATTGGCACTTATCAATACGTTTAATTTAGAGCATTCATTGGGAGGCACAAGAACAAGCAGTTAATGACACTCATTTTGCTCCCTTAAAGCCTGGAATTGGAATGCTCACACTCAGGGCTTTTGCTCACCACCATTCCTACACTGGTTCCTCCTTGTGGTTAAAAAAAAGAACAGAAAGAAAACTCCAACACCTCTAGCTCCAGATCACAGTGTCAGGGGAAATGAAAGAGGCCATCCTCCGCAATGGCGGCCGGTCCAGGTGCTCAGCCACCCAGGTGGGGTGCGGGACAGCGGGATCCCAACTGCCCCTGGCCTGAAACCCTGCAACAGGAATGTTTCAATCACTCTCAGCTTTCAACGTGTCCCCGAGGTTGTGTGTGGAAGGGACTGTCGTGCCCCCTGGCCCCTGCCCCCATGGTACCACTGAGCTGGCCTCCGGCTGCTCCATCATTCTTCCCTACGGAGAGCATGGTGGATTAACTGGGACCTGGGTATTTTCCTGGTTTATGTTAACGGCGAAGGGGCTATTGAACGAAGACGTCTTAATTGGCGAGCCAAGTGGGACTCGATTCTCCTCCTGTCAGTTCAATACAAACTCCTGTTTCCAGGTCTGTAAAATGGGTTGATTCTTTTTGCCCTTTCTCCTAGTTCATGGGGGTGGGGGGGTCGGCATGATAGCAGCTAATGGGCCAGGCCCCATGCCAAGCTCTTAATATCCACCTACCTCACTTAGTTCCCACAGAAGCCCCAACCAAAGTATTTGCGTTGTCCCCATTGTGTGACTCCTGGTCCTTGGTCACCCGACTAACAAACAGATGCGAATCAATCGAAACTCAGGTCTTGCTGATAAGGCTAAAAGCTGGCTTTTGCTTTCACACCACATGCTCTTCATGTAGATTTATAAAACCTCTTAGGAACACGAGTTAAATATATAAAAAAAAATCTCAGAGACACACATTAGAAGAGTGATGAGCCGAAGGGACCATTGCGTCCTGGTATTTATTCTTTGTAAGCAATACTGGGTTCCAAAAGAATCCATTTCTGAAAAGCACCCTTCTCTACTTGCTGTACAGCATCTGATAACAACAAGGAGATTTAAAAAATTGCTCTGAACCCCTGAACTTGCAGTCATGTGGTCCCAGCTCAGCACCGGAAGGGACCTTCACAGCCACAGTCACAGAGACCTTTGTTATTGAAACTGGTTCTGGGTAACGGCAAGGCCACACCGAGAGCCAGTCCCAGCCTGACGTTGCCAGGCCTCCTTTATTTCTCTGCTCCTTTCCTTCTCTCCCTCACTCGCCACCTGCACCAACCACATCCTTGGACATCAAGAGGCTCTCCCGCCTGCTGGGTGTCTCTCTCCCAGAGCTCCCCAGCCCTACAGGGGGAGGTCTGCAGGTGTGAGAGCCTCCCCCAGACCCAAGCTACTCTCACCCACCACACTCTAGTCTCATATGCCCCCTACCCAATCCATTTGAAGGCAACTGCAGCCAAGATGTTTGCGGAGCCAGTGGAGAACGACATCTCCAATCTGCACACAGATTCATGCAGTAGCAGAGAAATGAACCAGAACTAAGGCGAACACAGAAATACCACTAAGGAAGGCCTTGGCTTTAACACTGAAGTGAGACCCAAACCGAAAAGTCCCTGGTGGAACACCCACCACCCAAGCTTCTGCCTTTCTCCTTCTGCTGGAACTGCTACTGAGGAGCTCACTATGACCTTGAAGAATACAGTGGACACATCCGGGGTTTTTTTCTACTTAAATCATCAGTAGCATTTGACAAAATTAAAGACAGCATCAGTCCCTAGATAATGAGGTCACCTAGTTATGGGGTTCATCCATGCCCCAGTGGAAAATGGATGGGGCAGTATTCTTTGCATTTGGTATATATATAGTTGTGCTTAAGTTAACTATATACAGTAGTCCCCCCTTATCTGCAAGAGATATATCCCAAGACCTCCAGTAAATACCTGAAACCACCGATAGTACTGAACTTAATACAGACATGCATTGCTTAATGACGGGATATGTTCCAAGAAACTCGTCTTTAGGAGGTTTCATCATTGTGTGGACAACATAGTACTCACCCAGGCTACACCCAGTTGTAGCCTGCCACATGCTGTCCATCCTTGACTGAAGATCATGGTGGGGCACATGACTGGACTGCCTTTTCTTATGCATACATTTGGCACTATGAGAGATTATCAACAATAATAAAATAGAATAACTATAACAATATGCTGTAGTAAAAATTATGTGAAAGTGTTTGCTCCCCCTCTCTCAAAATACCTTATTGCAATTCACCCTATTTGCAGACCTCTGTTGACCTCAAGTCACTGAAACCACAGAAGTGAAACCACAGATGATGGGATCTACTGCACAGGTCCATCTATAAAAGAAGTTCATTCTCAATCAAGCTTTTTATTATTTTAATTAATTATTATAGCAAATCCCTCCACAGATGAGTTAAGCCTAACAAGATGTAATATTGTCACCTACTAACCACACCCCTCCACTATGACTCAGAAACTGCATAATCTAGCGATTAATGTCACAGACTTACTGGAACCTTCTGAAACCTCACTACCTGACATGGAGGCTTATCGGCTTAAAGACTAAGAAAAATATATATATAAAAAAAGGAGGGTTCTCATGAGCAGTTGCAGAAAGGTGCTTCTCTAAGGAGTAAGGGAAACCACAGTTCCGCCCATGCTCTTCTCACCAAGCCTGTGTCCTCTTTGCTTCACTTGTAGAGCTGTGTCTCCAGAAGGGGTGACTTCTAGTTTACACAAAGGTGCCAAAAGGCTAACCAGCAACTCTGAAACCTTTTCTCAAGAGGTGATCCTGAAATAGAGCCCTCTGTCTTCTGTGGAATTTGACTGTAGGATCAGTTACCTTTAGAACCCAGCACCCGGCACAGAGCCGTACTCTATAAATACATGTTGAATTAATTAACAAATATAAAACAATCTGAGAATAAGATACAGGTGCCCAATGTTGTGGAATAGAGCAGTGTTTCTCAGTGTGTGGTCCGGCAGTCCCTGGGGCTCCCCAAGACTCTGAGGAAAACATGAGATCAAAAATCATATTCCTAATAATACAAAGATCTTTCCTGTCTATTTCACTTGTGTTCTTCACAAGTATACAGGGCTCAAAATTTGTTGAAATAGTTGAATATTCCACATTTGCAACTAGCTTTTAAAAAAACCATTAATATCAGCTTTTGGAATATCAAAGAGAAATACCCACAGATATCTGAGAATTATATCTCTCTTTGTTCTAACCGGATATATGTTTGAAGATGGATTTTCTTTATATATCGAATCTAAAACAGCAAATTGCAAATGGTATCATATTAACTACTGAGGTAGATATGAAATCCAACCACCATCTATTAAGTTAGAAATTAAAGCTAGTGCAAAAATATAAAACCCTTCTTACTTTTTTTTTTCAGGAAAATAGTTGCTTGTATTCAAGAATGTGCTACTTATGTTAACATTTAATGGGTTTGTGATTGCTGTAAATGAAATAATAAATAGTTTATAATATATCCCATGAAATTTTAATAAAATTCACAACTCACATCAACAAAAACTCTTTGCTTTGCAATGATTTTTAAGAGTATAAAACGGTCCTCAAAACAAAAAGTTTGAGAACAGCAGATACAAAACAAATTAGATTAAATTCAACTCACTGAGGACTTCATGAAAATAGATTCTGGACCCTGGCCCTCTAGAGCTGCAATAGAAGACTGAGAATTTGTATTTTATAATACAAATCCCCCCAGAATTCTGACTGTCATTGGTAGAAATAATAAATATGATAAAACTTTGGGAAATGCAGTATCAAAATGCACTGCCATTGTCAGAAAAGTCTTTGGTCATTAAACAAATATTTAGCAACACTGCAGTCATCCCTTGAAAGACCATTCCAGCCTCCAAGTATATCAGAATCTGCAGATGCTCAAATCTCTTATATAAAATGGCAAGGCATTTGCATATAACCTATGCACATCTCCCGTATACTTTAAATCAACTGAAGATAAGATTATTTATAATGCCCAATACAATGTAAATGCTATATACATAGCTGTTAAACTATTGTTTCAGGAATAATGACCAAAAAAAAAAAAAAAGAATCTATCCATGCTCAATATAGAAGCCATTCTTTCTGAGTATTTCTGAATATCCAGAATCCATGTACATATAATCCAGGAAATGTAGGGCTCTCTATGACATGGTCCAGATGCTACTGGAAACATTGGGCAGACACCAAGAAACGAGATGCAGCTCCCGTCCTGAAATTCTCAAATCATTGGGAGAGATGGACAGGACAGAGAAGAGGACACACAGTAATGGGCCTGGGGTACAGGAAAGAGTGCTGTTGGACACAGGGGCAGAGAAGCCCACACCGAAGAGCTGGCCTCCGACCACAGGGAGGCTTCGAAAAACAAAGGAGAAAAGGTGATGAGGACCCAGGTGCGATGGCCGGGATGCCTGTGTGATGGGCAGCACTTTGACTGGCCTGGCTGGCGGGAAGGCCCGCTGGAGAGCAGAGCAAGGTTGGGTCAGGCAGGCTGGAGAGGAGTCCCCTGGAGCTTGGGGGAGACAAGATGAAAAGTCCTGCTTAGGGTATAACTCTGGAGACTCACCAAAGGTAGCAGGCCCTCAGGCTGAAGGATGGGAAGCCTGCTCCTTGGTAATTAGAATAAAATGATTTTGGAAGCCAGGGGCCAGGCAGGACAATAGCAAAAATGCTCAGGCCCCCTGGTGTAAAATAAATTAGATAACCTGCTAAAAATCAGACAGTGGGATAAAATAAATTTAATCAACTCTCCCTGAACTTCCTATGCCCTTTTCTTAGGGGATTTCATGCATCCTTTTATAGGAGCAGCTCTTGAAATTCTGGGGTCATGGACGCTTTTGAGAATCTGATGAAAACTTTAGATATTCTCATCAAGGGATAGAAATGAATTAAAGCAAAAAATTGTGTGGCTAGGCAGGATTTTGTTCACTTTTGTATTGCCTTACCTTATATTCTCTCTCTCTCTCTCTCTCTCTCTCTTTTCTTGTCCTTCTTCTTTCTGAAAGAGGTGTCATCTAATAAAAGAAGGGGGGGGCGATAAAAAGGTGATTTTAGCAGAATTAAGCACTGGTGTCCTGTAAGAGGCAGAACATTAGCTGCAGAAACTTTGGAGGTAGAAATTTCCCTCTGAATTCCAAGAAGCCTCTTTCCAGGAAACCAAAAGGAACCAATGCAGAGGAGGAAAGAGGGACCGAGTCCAAATTTGGTGGAAAATGAGGGGGAGAGATAAACCAGATTATGTAGATTTTGATGGATGACTCAATGGAGAAAATAAAGATCTATGCTCAATGAGTAGGAGTGATTGCCTAGCAGGAAGGCTTTCTGGAAATGGACTGTACCTTCATACCCATCAGGTAGCCATATCAAGGGCAGCTTTGACTTCACTTATCTCAGTTCTTCATGAGCCCTCATCTTCCACAGCACTTGGGCCAGTCTTCCCCCAAGCCAGGACTGCTGGTCACAGTTGTGTAGGCTGCTCACTGAACGAGGTTCTAGGTGGAAGACACAGTAGACACTGAAACAGCCTGTCCTGAGCTTGCCAAGCTCTGAGGGCTGACACAGGGTGGAGTGCACACAGAACAAGTGCCATTTTCTAATTTTCACAAAGGTACTCTTCAGGCTATCAGCACTCTACCACCTGCCGAATGCCCTGTTCTTTCTCCTCTCCTGCCTCCTCCTCTTCTCTTCACCACAGGGGCCATGGCAGAGAGTTGTGCTTGTGAGTGTCCACAGTTACCGTGTAGGCCGGACTCCCCTCCCCCTCCTGTCCTTTCACGGCTCTGCCCTCTGTCTCCCTCCTCCCTGTCCACAGCCTCTGACACAGTGACTGCACTTCCTCAGAGAAACTAGACTGAGGCTGAAGGAGAACAATTACTACAAATGTGTTTCTACCAATCGCAGAAAGAAGAAAACAGACCTAGAGAGAACACAGCCCAAACCTCAAGCTCAAAGGACAGCCCTTGAGGTACCTGAGGATCAACCAGTCAAAACCACAGGAGGGCTCTGCCCTCCCCACAGCTGGCACGGAGCAGGCTTGGCGGGCTTCCAGAGGGCACACCTGCTGCCGCCAGGTTCCCGCCAAGTCCTTCCTCCAGGAGGGGCCCCCAGCTCATTGTAGCTTCCTTCACCCTCAGCCTTTGGAGGAGCCAACTTTGAGAGTGTGGGAAACGTAAGCATCACTCCCCGCAAGCATCACTCCCCCAAGGCCAGCGAGGCTGACCTTCCTGCAGTAGATACCCTCCCCACAGGGAATGGGCTCCTGTCACCATGGCCCCTCTCTGCACCTCATGGTGGGTCTGCTCCTTCTACTCTGCTGCCTGAGAGGACAGGCTGAGGTGCAGAGCTCCATCTGGAACTCCAGGAAGGAGCAGCAAACTCTACCTTAGTGCTCTTAGGGTCCCAGCTGATCCCTGGAGTTGGATTGACATAAGTCAGGGGAACGGGAGAAAAGCATTATCTACTTCATGCAAGGTGCATGTGGCACACTGAGTTGAACAAAGAGTACTAAGTTGTGAGGCAGCAACTAAATGACATGGGAAGGCCTAAAAGGTGACATAACAGGGACTTAGACGAGTTGCCTTTGCTCAAAGCCCTGACTCCTAGGCCTGCAGATGCCTGGCGGGTGACTGAAAGCAGGATAAAGCCTGGCATCTCTGCCTTCATTTTGAATTTGTCTTCAGGTCCTGTCAGCTGTGCACCTGGGCCATTTAGCCATTTAAGGAATGTTTATTGAAGAACCGTAAAAGGTGTATTAGCCCTAAATTTATCTAACAGTTAGGTAAATCATGAACACTGAGGAAAGATCTAGAGCATACTTTTTCAGACCCCTGGAGTGGTGTCCAGAAGTCTTCATTCATTGTCCTACACCTTCCAGAACCAGCAGGAGCAACTGAAACCGAGCTGTGAGATAAAACTGGATTTCCCACTTCTGCTGGTTGATGGGGTTTGGGCAGCTGCAGGCCTCACCAACTTCCTTCTGGGTTCTTGTCTCACAAATGTGAAGAATAAAATTCGTGGACAATAACGAAAGGGAAGAGGAGTGAACAGAGTAAGATCTTTTGGAGAAGAGACAGAACTCCCACCATTTGGGAGGAGACTGATAGTGTTACAGGGCTGGGGACTTTCGGGAAATTGAGGCAGTGTGAAGAACCCCCCAATTCTTGCAATCAAGTCAGAAAGATTTCACACGTGTCACTCAGAGCAACAGGCATGAGTTTACTGAAAAGGAAAAGGGGTCACTCTGCAGAGAGAGAACGGGTCCTCTCAGAGAAGAGAAGGACAGTGTGCTTCTCCTGCACTCCAGTTTTATTGGGGATCCCAGAGAAGTTTTCAGAGGGTCTCACCAAGGTCTACTTCTTGACTTTGACTGATAGCAGGGTGACATCAGACTTTTAAGTGCCCCAAAATTCTAGGCCCGTGCTGACCAGTTCTAATTGGATTCTTAACCGTACATTCTTACAGAGTTTATGGTTAGGAGGAATTATCCTTATCTCCCTGAGTCCCAGGAGCTGGTCTGTGAAAAGGATCACAAAATTCCCCCCTTCAGGGTACCTTGGGTTCGTCTGATTAACATTATTTGAGGCCTGCATTTCTCCTGCTGATAACAGGTAGTTTGCTGAGGAATTTGGCATATCCTGTCCACTTAAGACAGGCAGGGCTGCAGGTAAATTGCTTCTTGAAAAAGAAATCATGTGAGGGTTAACATAGTGGGCCTGTTATTTAAAATGATTCCCTTAACCTCCTGTTCTGTTCCGACCACTTACATTTGTCTGTCCCCATCACAAGCATCTCGTGGGAACGGAATTGCCGCCTTGCAGGATCACAGGTCTAATAGATAACATTCTGCATCTTGGGAAAGCCCCCTCAAGATAAGCTCAAGATAAGGACTTCTTAAGCCACCTCACAGAACCAGACCACAGTATGACCAAGACTGCTGACTTGGCAGCCATCTCCCCCCTGCCCTGCTTCTCCCTCTGTTTAAACCTAAAGCCTCTGTCAACAGTGCAAGCTAGGGGGATGCTGAACCTCACGCTGACTTCCCATATTGATTAAATTTTCCTTTCCTGCTTGGTCTTTGGGATGAGTGGTTGGACCTGGTTTGTTGGGTCCATGGGAGTCAGGTCTTGGGCTCTGGTAACAAGAGAATTACTTAAACAAGACCCAAATGGAATTCTCTGTTTCAACTTCTTGACCTTGAGAACAAGGATGTTGCATCTATCGATTGGGAATTTTATTTCCAGCTTTTAAGAAATTGCACTCGGGTCAGGGTGATCATCTCATGTGTGCTGTTTTTAAAAGCCTTTAATCTGAACAATCAATACGCTAGAGGGATGTATTTTGGTGGCATATCCTGAGTCTCTTCAGAGACCAGGGACCCAGGGTACAGAAATATGTGCCTGGCACAGCACCCAGTACTTACAGCCTTTAATTCTCAGAACCACTTCCTGAAGTATTGCTGTCTCCAGTTCATAGATGAGAAAACAAGCTCCAAAATATTATAAAGCTTGCTTGGGGTCCATGTTCCCACTCACTCCTCCACCAACCCGTCAGAGTGAACCATTCTGGGTCATGTTCTACTGCAACTGTCCTTCACGGAAAGGGCCTCTGGGAGTCCATTTCAAAGAGTCACACTCGACAGGGTATTTTATAAGAAAAGGAATGGACAGATTTTTGTTGTTAGATTAGATACAGAAAAAAAAAGAATGTCTGCTTAAAGGTCAAGCAGATGCGTTCTGACAGTCTGCCGGAGGAGGAGGAGGCTGGTTTCCCAGAACAAGTCTTGATCCCATTATTGCCTGTCAGAAAATGGCTCAGGCATTTTATCAGGAGCACTGATTTTCTTCCCAGAATGAGGTTGAAAAATTACATTATATACAAAAAAAAAAAAAAGGTCTGTCCCAAGACTAGGCCTAGGACAATTTTTCCTTTCAGTGCTATCATGGTGGACATCACCTGTGATTGATGAGTTACCTGGCTGTTGCAATTTAATTAGGTAATTAGGCCAATCATGGTGTCACAACAGTCACCGCAGGACAGAGAAAGTAGGGAATCCTCTATTGGTACTTACTGAATGTTGATTCAGTGAATCGAATGAACTTTCCTAAACAGAAAAGTGAGTGAATGAGATCACTGCTCAAAGTACAACCCACAGTCCAGGTGGGTTCTGCAAACTGGGACTGGCACCACAGAAGGTAAGCACAGAAACAGAGTACAATGCATTCAGAAAGTTTCGTAGCAATTAAACAATGTCTATGAAATCTATGACAATTTTTTTAAGAGAGAGAGAGAGAGAGAGAATTTTAATATTTATTTATTTTTTTTTTTTTTAGTTCTCAGCGGACACAACATCTTTGTTTGTATGTGGTGCTGAGGATCTAACCCGGGCCACACACATGCCAGGGGAGTGCGCTACCACTTGAGCCACATCCCCAGCCCCTCTAATGACAATTAAAAAAAAAAATCACTTTTTTTTAAACTAAAGTTCTTTTCTTTTTTTTTGGTATTGTGGATTGAACGGAGGGGGCACTTTGCCACTGAATTACATCCCCAGTCATAAATAAATACACATATTACACACACGTTATTTATGATATCTATATATCTATATATAGATGTATAATTTTGAAACAGAATTTCACTAAATTGCCTAGCCTGGCCCTGAATTATCGGTCCTTCTACCTTCTGCTTAGCTGGGATTACCAGAGGGCACCACCAGACCAGGTCTTTGGTTTTTGTTTTGAGAGGGAGTCTCACTAAGCTGCCCAGGCTGGCCTTGAACTTGCTTGAACTTGGCGATTCTTCTGCCTCAGCCCACCCCCAAGCCCTCCAGCAGCTGTGATTACAGGCCTGCCACAGAACCTGGCACAGAACTTTTATATGTCCTTGTTTAGTCTGGTTTCCTCCTCCACCCCGGCCTCCCGTTTTCTTCTATTAATTCTTCGTTTTCTTATTCTCCTTTTCAGAATTCGTTGTGTTTTTCACGTATTGATCGCCATGGCTGGAGATCAAGAGGAAAAAGGTCCTTCGCTGTAGCCGATTAATCTGGCGATCACAAAGCCATTGGAAAGGCCAGACTTTGTCTCACCAGAAGAAGTTCCATTTCTAAGAAAACAGCCTCATAGAAAGCGCCCAGCATCGCTACACAACCCTCCGCGGTCCAGCCCAGGACAGCCCCCCTAAGAGGCCGGCCTGGGCGCAGGGCGGGCGGTCCGCGGTCCAGGGCTCCTGGGCTCGCTCACCTGGCCCCACCCCACCCGAGCTGCAGCAGCGGGGAGTATCAGAGAGACGTTGGCATCAAAGCAGAGCCTGATCGAGGCTCTGTGTTGTGGCAGGATGGGGTGTTCTTCCCCCCCCCCGGCCCCCCTTTCCTTCCTCCCCAGGGCCCCCTCCCAGCCCTTCCTGGAAGGAAGTCTGGTGAACTGGAGCCGTTCTGAACGGTGTCAGCAAGAGAGGGGGCAGTTTCCCCGCTGTTTTGCTGGAGGGCATGAGCCTCCTGCAGGGCGAAGGGAATCTGAGACCGCCCTTCAGCGCCCCAGCCCGAGGGAGCGGAGCGAGGGAGCGGCCCACGAGGTGGAAGAGAAGGAGGAACCCAAGAGAGAGAAGAGAGCAAGGTCATCCAGCTCGTCAAGAACCTCAGTGACTTGGCCAGAAGCTCAAGCAACCTCTGGACTCCACATCTACCAAACCGAGATTTTTCTTCCTGGGACTGGATGTTCCCGGAAGGCTGTTCCAGTTTATGTAATGAACCAGGTGGTCAGGAGCCCAGGCTGGGGGCTAGATGGCCTGGATAGAGTCTTGATTCTGCCCCAGGCTAACCTCCTGACCTTTTACGTTTC